AATTAAGAAAAATCGAACGGGATCCGAATTTCGGCCCCGAAAGTTTCCCTCGGGGCTCGATTTCGAATTTCTTCTTCTTCCTGACCACAGAGCAAGACAACCTTAGAATCTCAGCACCAACCTGTGCTGGTCGCCGACTCGATTTATTTATAATTGAACGCGGGAAACTTTTTCCGGACTTTGCCCGCAGGCTAATAAAGTCTCGGGAAAAAGCTATTTTGAATTTTTTTTTCTCATATGAAAAAAAATGAAAATACGATATTAGATTATTTATATTTCCAAAAATCGCCCTTAATGTTTTCCTATGACTTTTCAAAATTGAGTAATTCAGTGTCCCTAAATTTTGTTTTCAAGGTTTTTACTGAATAATTGTCCTCTTGATTTTGGTAGTAAGAGTTCTTACAAATTAAAATAGATTTACAAAACTTTTTGATAGACTGGCTTAACATGCTTGTACAGTAAAATTCGCCAATGTTTAAATTTTTTTTCTACTGGATAGGGACCTAAAAATCATTGTAAAGAGATTGTCTTGCATAAGGGTGATTTAATTATTATTCTTTTATCGTTTTCGTTTAAATAAACTGCATAGTAGATGAATTCTTCGGCTGTCTAATTAATTTGAGAAATCATACGCAACTATAAAGGTTTGTTGATCTATTCTCTCCCTTTCTGTTGGATGAATTGAGATGCACAAAATTTTTATTTATAGACTAATTATGACATTTCTTCACTTATTTCTTTTTTATCAGTGAAAAGACAGTTCGAAGTGCAAAACATCACTGTAAAAGTACAGGGTTATACTTTCCAGATAAATTGGCAGGAGATATCAATGCTAGAAAATTTATTTTGGTGCTATTTTTTCCCTTTGTTTTGAATATTTACCTGTTTATCAAATTTCGGATAATCTTTGAATAATTGAATCAATTAAAAACAATCTCTTGACAATCCTATTTGCATCTGAAAGCCATTTTGTAAATACTTATGGTTTTTTGGAATTTTTCGAGTAAAAATGTGGATTTTCTTCTGAAAATTTAATTTTGCAATAAATTATTTGTTTCTGACTGTTGAGAAAATACCTCGAAGGACTCTGACTCAAAAACGTGAGTACTTGAAGTACTATAATGCCGTTTATTTAATATGCAGTCGTGCAGGTAAACTTTTTGAAGCATCCTTTTTCGCCAAGCTATTTTCAAAATTATTATGGTACTGATCGGCTGAAAAATATTTCAACAATTTTATTAAATAATAAAATAACTTTTATGAATAAGAATTATAAAATAAAATAATTGCTGGATTCGTTATGAAAAATTCTTCGCGTTTTAAATGAAAACTAAGCTAACAAAAATACTTCTCCAAATTCCACACCAGAATCACCCAAAAATGAGAATCATGAGCTCAAAAGTCGCGGTCGACGTTCTGGCTTAAAATAAGCATTGAATTAATAAATAAAAACACTTGTTGTTCATACTCATGCCGACAAAAAAAACTCTTCGTTTTCTTCGTAAATATTTTCACGCAACCGCTGGAGAAAATAAATTGGGTAGTTTAGAAGGGCAGAGAAATTTTTTTTCCCTTCATGCCGTTCTTCAACAAAAATGCCTTCGTTTTGACCTGGTTCACGCTCTTTTTCTTTCCCCTTTTTCTTTTCCGAAAGACGAAAAAAAATTTGTAAAACGCGTGCAGAATATTTTCTGAGGTCTCACAATCGGATTCCATGAGGTTCTTGAAAATTCTCCGACGACGCAAGAAAATTGCCGGGATTTCGAATGCAATTTTTTTCATAGATAATAAATCTGCGAAATTTAGTAGCTTTTTCCGCGTCAGGGTCCGGAAATTACGGTAGAGGGCATTTTTATTCGAGTACTCGCGAAGAAAGTCGTTAAAAAGCAATTAAGTGGCTTTTTAATTACCCCCCTTGGAAGTCATTCTTAACGGTCGGTATTTTTATTTATTTTTTTTTTCGTGCTTTTCTTCCACACAGTCACGCGAAAAAGGGAGAGAATAGCAGTAAAAAATTTCAAGATTTCTGGCAAGGTGCAATTTCATTTCTTTGCATTGACACCTGGATTTTCAGTTTACTTTCTTTCCTTGAAAAATAAAACAGAATAATCGAGTGCTGCAGTATCTTTTTTAAAATACTGTACTGTGTATATAAGTCAAGAGTAGAAATGAAATTTTGCACGCCATTTCAAAAATTTGCTGAAAAACGGTTTTATTCTAACAAAATTTAATTGAACTTCCTTATTAATTTTGCCAATGTCGAACATAGAAATTTTACACTCTGTACAACGCGATCAGGGATTTTTAAAGATTTCATAGATGTCACTGGCATTCAAAAAGCGCACAACGTCATTCAACTTTACTTTTGACTAAGAAAAATGAATATTCAAATTTCAATTTCTTAAAATAACAAGAAAATCGATTCTATATTTGTTGAACATGGAATGAAGTTCTGGAGTGATTAAAAAATGTACAATACGTGATAATCTTGTTATGTCCACTGCAATCACAGGTTGTTCTTCATGAGGGTAGATGTCGCTGGCGGTTTTTGGAAAATTAAAAAAAATTCTTTTCGGTTTTATTTTTGCGCAAATACGGACATTTTTCGCTGTGTACATTCTCAACCTAATGTTGATTGGTTTTTGAGTGGGATTTTCAAAAATGACTATAAGCATTTTTTAACTGCTGAAAATCACTATTTTCAGCCCAATTTTGCGATTTTGAACATGGATTTTGGTACACATCTGATGGCATTTGTAACAAGATTTGAAAGGACGTATCAATTCTTATTTTGAATATTTTTGAAACCCTGTCGCCCATTGGTTTTATTGCTTTGCCCGGTTTTTTCTGACTTATTGCTTTTTCATGCATCTATTAATTTTTCTGAATTGAAATTCCTGAATCTTGTATTTGAGATTCGTTTCTTTTTCATTTAAATTTAATCACTCGGGATTTTATTTAGGAGGAATGCGTTTTCGTGGTGAACACGTCTTTTTTGTCTTCTTGCAGAACACTTGAAACATGGAATTTTAAACTTTTAATGACTCACCGTTTATTGAATAACTGATGACTTGAATTTATTTTTGGAACAACCTACTCCTTCAAAAGAGAACCAGGTGGGGTGACATGAAACCCGTAAGTCGTCGGGGTTTAATAAATTGTTGTCGCATTTCCCAACAAATCAGCCCAATAATTGTCTTCCCAAGTGTTCGTCAAACAGGTATTTCATATCGTCCACATGCAACTGAGATAATGAACAGGATGTAAGAAATTCCTTTATTAAATGTATAAAGAAAAAAGCTTGTCGTGACAGACTTTATTTTTTTATTTCGTCATCAACGGGACGCCGTAACGTCGTGAAATTTCGAAACCCAATGATTTCTATTTTTTGTTCCTTTTTTCTGGGACACTTTTTCGCGACACGGAAGCAGTCAGGAAAAAAAAGATTTTCTCCTTGAAAATATTCTCTTTTTTATGATATAATGAAACAAGCGAAACGAATTTTTCTTGTTCCTCTTTTGCGGATGAAAACGGGGAGATTTTGTATGAAATTGGAGTGAGGAAAATTGAAATCACGGAACGAAGAAAAGTTTTCGTTTCGCCAAGAGAAGAATCACGGTCAAATTATTTCGGGTCTTTTATTTTTTTTAATGGGATTCCAAACTGAAAATTACGCTTGAATCTGTGTCAGATAGACTCGGAATTTCTACTCGGTTCGAAACGAGGATTGTTTTTCATAAATGTTTTGTTTTTTTCGGAAATGAGGAAATTCCAGGGTTGCGAATGTTAGTCATTAATTTTTTTTTTTAGATCTGAGCCCAAATCCGGACATGAAATCGATTTCGAGATTAAGCTTTGGTTTGAGTCGGTCGGAAAATCTTTACGCGAATCAATTTTCTTTTCCATTATCTATGAATGAAATATTACCCTCGGGCTTTTTGCGAAAAAATTGCGCCGTTTTCCGATTGATTTTTCGACCAGTAACTTTTCATAAACTTGAATAATTGATAGATGAACCCCATAAATGTATTCGAAAAGATTTTAGGGACTTTCTGCGATTTTTTGCAACGTTGAACTGAAACTTCTTTTACAGCAAAATTCCTTCACTATGAAATTTTCCATCCAACGAAATTTTTTCTTCATAGGGACCATAAATGGAAATTTCGTTATAACAAACTAATGTCCCTACATAATCTCAAAATAAAGAATTTCCGCCTTGATTTTATGTGCATGGGAAATAAGTATTTTTAATTTCTGGCACAATTAAGTATAGGAAAACCGAATTTGTGTATAATTTAAAAACCTTCAAAATGTAACAGCTAATCAAATGTAGCGTTGCACAAATTTTGAACCTCTGACCAAAATGTATTTCCTTTTATTTTTGAATTTATAATTGGCTATTTTAAAAAATTACTTGAAAGTGAAACATACAGTTTTAAATGAATAAATGTTCTTCTTGCACATGCATATTCTGTATGTTTCCTCTCATACTTTAGTGAGATATTTTTGGAAAATTCTCAAAGAAATACTTCTTGAGAGAGGGAAGGTTTTAGGAAATCTTCATTTGACCGTTCAATTTTTTTGTTGAAAGTGGAACAAAAAGTATTCATCACCTGTTTCCCATAAAATGTCAGACCTACATATGGTCAAAGAACTAAGGATCTCACTACAGTAAAATTTCATTACAACAAAACCATTGATGGGACCAGCGAAATAGCTTCGTTATAATGAAAAATTGGTTTTAAAGTGTTTCATTTAACATCGTGGCTTTTGGACAGGGACATGGGCAAGATTTCGTTGTAATGGATGATTCGTTATAACGAGATTCGTTCTATTGCAAAAAAAATTGTTTCTTGGGTCACTTGGAGTTTGTTGTAACCATCCAGATTTTACTTTAAACAATATTCATTTTTCAAATAACCCGCACTTGGCGTGTTTGAGGATTTTATTTATTTCATTTTATTTTTTTTGGCAAAAATAAAAAATGGCAAGACACTCACCATTTCGTCGAGGCTCTTGAGGTCGTTGGTGACGATTTGCGGGCAAGAACCGCAGCTGTCGGCAATGCTGCTGTCGTCATCATCATCGTCAATGACGCCAACGACGCTGGCACTCGTCATTGCTGTCGTTGACACCGTCGACACTGTCGACACCATCGATGCAATGCCTCCATTTACAGTCTCCATCTGCACGCTCATCTGCTTCTGTTGTTGGTTTCACAGCGGTGAATATTTTTTTTTTAATATTGCGTGGTCCATCAGTCCAGAGGAAAAACCGGAAACGAAAAGCAGATGCAATGTCAGACATTTTCTTTTTTTGGCAGGAGTCTTTTTTTTTGTACTGGTCCAGTAGGTGACTTCCAAAGTGAAAAAATTTTGAATCGAATTTTTAAATAGAAGATAAATGCTGCAATAAGTGGCCAACCTCAGGAGAAAATTATTGTGATATTTTTGGGGGCGTGGGTATAAAAATAAAAATGCAATCACAACTGGAATTATTATTTGCTCTACAAAAAGAAATCGATCGGTTTTCTTTCAAAAGATTTGGAATTTTTGTCCCCAATTTCCTTCCCCTTCCTTCAATTATTTGTCCCAGTTGATATTCTAATACATAAATAATGTATAGTATATATTCTAACTTTTTCAAATCAATAACAGAATGCACAGCAAAAAATCACCCCTGATGTAAAAATATTTTGATAACTTCAATTTTTAAATAAAATTCAATGAGACGATTTTAATGATGCATGAATCTAATTGGAATAGTAAAATGCTGTTACAAAAAAGCCATTGGAACCCAGGAAAGCTTGATAATAAGAATAAATCATCAGACCAAAGCTCAACTAAAATTGTGGCTATTTGACAGAAGCCTCAAAACTATTCATTTGTCAACAAAAAGTTGTAACAAGATTCATTGCAATTGTGAGATTACACTGCAGCTCTTCCATAAATGTATAAGGTGGAGTTTGATCAAAGTTAGTACAATGTTTAAATGTCTATTATTGGTATATTATACTATATTATTTGAAACAACAGTCTTGACTGTTATTCTTTCAAATGCGTTTGCATTTGACATGAAGGCATTTTTAAAAGTTATACAGTTGAGTTATTAGAGAGGTGACATCTAGGTCATCAACTCAGAATTGAGGAAGATCAGGACAGGTCCAAGCATGCTCTCTCCTCTACTTAAGAAATGGTTGGCCACATATTCCAAATTGTTTCCAAAAAAGCATTTATTCAAACATTCCCACTGGAGCAGTATAATTTTTAAAAGATGTTAACAAGCCACTGTCAGCGCCACCTATAGGCAAGGTAATTAAGCAGGCTCAAGTCAGCAAATCAGCAGAATATTAAAAGCAAAAAAATTATATATAAATCTAGAATATTGTATGTTTTGATCATTACAATTGCAGGTTCTAAGACCAGGACAACTGAAAGGAACATTTTAATACTGTACTTAATTTTCATAAATTGATATCAACTGGTTTTTTGTCAGTTATTCTTTTCTTTTATGAGAAAGTTCCCCCAAAAGTATTCTTTCACTCCTTAAAGCCATTCAGATGAGGTCTCTGTAAAATCAGAGTTCTAGTGAAAGCTTTCATGCTATTATCTTTTAAATTTATGATAATTTCAATGATTAAATTTTAATAGAAAACGTCAAAGCTTATCAACAAGAGAATCACTGATCATTTTGCGAAACGTCTAGATAAAATCTGAGTTCTTAAACGAAAATTTTCAATGGAATTCCATTGCTAAAATATTTCTCTCTTGAGAAATTCGTTGAATATACAAAATACATATCCTCAAGAAGAAAATATCACCCAAATTTTACAATAATCAATAGAAAGCTCCTAATGCCTAGGACCACGAGTACAGTAAAATACATTTCTGCGAGGAACTACTGCAAGCAATTGGCGAAAATTATTCCAATTCCCAATCGGTTTCCGACTTATGCGATATTTCGCAGAAAATGAAAGGGTTTGAGATCGTTAGGATGTGAAAATCTATAGAATACCCGTTTTCACGAAAAATTGAAATCACGTCGTTCCTAACCATATCCATCAAGATTTCTCTTCCTGGACGAGGTGGAAAGCAAAAAAAAATTAAAAAAAAACCAGCATGAAATCAGATGCAAAAACGAACTACTTTCATTCTGGGAAAATTGCTCCGAAAGCAGGGTAAAATTATGCAGTTCCGTCGAGAGAGAGAGAGAAGCAGTCATTGAACCATTTCCACAAACAAGCCCCCCAAAAAGAAGCAGGAAACCCGAAAGAAAAAGAATGAAAGATGTTATTTGTAGAGAAGAAAAATTGTCATGCACCAGAAACGCAGCTATGAAACGTGTCACAGGAGTGAGTAAAAGTCGCAAGGGTGAATCCAAGCATAACTTTTGTACTGTGTCAGCTGTTCTAGGATTCTTCCCAAAAGTTCTGGTGAGTTTCTTTTTCTTTGGAGGTGGGAGGGGCGCAGTTGGAGGCCCCGCCCTTTTTCCTGCTTTTGCGCTTCTTCTGAGCTAAGAGAGGCAAAAATGCCAGACTTGTTTCATGTGTTTAGAAGAATACACTTGACTTTGCTACTGAAAACGAGTCTCTTCATTCTGAAAGTCATGCTCAGTCTAAAATTAATTAAGCTGCTGACAGAATTCCCAGAAATGATGCCAAGAAATGCAAGAAAATTTAGCAATTAAAGTTCTGCTTGTCATCAGAGCTTTTCTCTAAAGATCACTTTAAAAAACTTGCTGAATTTATTTCACAGAATATTTTTATTTTTTTTAAACTGGCAGACATGCTTTTAAAAATTAGCCTTCCTTGCAAGGAAATTAAATTGAGAAAATTTTCTGCACAACATATGCTATCAGAACTGCTTGTTTTTTATGCATAAAAAAAGGCATTGCCTGGAACTCATTGTCAACTTTTGATTTGAACCATATTATTGATTTCATCTTTCTGTTCACCTGCTCATTCAATATGTGCAGTGTGAGCAAGGCTGTGATTATTAAAAAAATGTTGAATAAAATTATAACTTTCAAGCACCAAAACATGTCTGCTGCAACACTTTGCAAGAGCAGTGGAAGAAGCTTCTGTTATGGCGTTTCCCTTTTACATCCTTCATTGTTTTCTCATCTTTCATCTACAAAATCAACCTTTTCTGGAAAAACCCCTGATTTGAAAAAGTTCTACACTCTATACTGAGAAAAGTGTCCAGCACCAAAACCTGTCTCATGGGACAAGGCAAGTGGACAATGGGAGGAGCCTCCAATATCCCTTCTCACTTCCATCTCTTTTGCTTATTTCTCATCTTCCATTCACACAATCCATCTTTTCTGTCAAAACCTTGCTTTTAGATGTTCATGCTGAGAAAATAGTCCAGGACCAGAACCTGTCTAATGGGACAAGGCATATGGGAAATGGGAGGAGCCTCTTATATGATTTCTCCTTTCACATCCTTTGCTTACTTCTCTTTTTTCATATACAAAAGCCATATTTTTTGGGTAAAACCATTTATTGAAATGTTCTACTTTAGACTGAGAAATGAGTTCAACACCAAAAATCTGTCTCATGGGACAGGTTTAGGCTCCTCCCTTTGCACAGGGGCAGATGGAGGAACCTTAAATAAGACTTCTCTCTTTCAAATCCTAAGCTTTTTTCTTATCTTTCATCTACAAAATCCATCTTTTCTAGCAAAATCATGCTTTGAAAAGTTTTACTCTAGATTGAGAAAAGTGTTCAGCATCAAAGATTGTCTCATGGGACAAGGCGTAGGGGAAATGGGAGGAGCCTCATACAAGTATAAGACTTTTCCTTTTCATATCCTTTCCTTCTTTCTCATCTTTCATCTACAAAATCCACCTTTTTTATCAAAACCATGCTTTGACAAGTTCTCCTCTAAACTGAGAAAAGTGTCCATCCCTATAACCTGTCTCATGGGACAAGGCATAGGGGAAATGGGCGGAGCCTCTGACTCATCTTCTCATCCACCTATTTTTGTCCAACCTCTGCTGGAACACTCCAGGGCAACCCAAATAACATGTGTAAGTGTACAAGAACCACCAGAACTCATGAGTGAAATCCAGCTCTCAGTATACACACATACTCAAGTAACTATTTTTTTTTCTTTTCTTGTTTCTTCGGGCGCAACACAGGGATAATTAAACTAACCACCACAGGTTCACGCCCGGCGGGTTGCGTATCACTGGCACAACCATCAACATCGCATGCGGCGAAAACATCACCACTGTCCTGGAAATGAAATCACACAGAACGATTCATCTTCAAACACACACGCCATGAAACTTTGAAGATAATTAACCACTTGTTTGTTTGGTTTGCGTCTTCTTCGCCTTCTAATTTAACTCAATCCTCCTCTCCTCATCATCATCATCATCATCCTTTCACTCTTCTCACTTAAATACTCAAACTACACCTTTTAAAAGTCTTGTCCAAAATTGTTCTTGATGCTTGAAATGTCTCAGTAATTGCAGGTTGCACATGAAATACTTGAGGCACATGAGGGAATTGCACTAATTACTGAAGAATTTGTAAGAATATCCCCACCATTTTTTTTTCTCTTTAAAGTATTTACATGTCATTAAGATCATATTTAAAAAAAATATGAGGAAATGCTTAGTTGACTGGAGAAATTGTCAGGAATGCTGCAAAATATTGCCATTTATTTTTGGCAAAACATTGAAATGTTATTACAACAATAAAGTACTAATGCTATTCCCTCAAATTTTGCACATCATCAAACGGAATTTTGAATATATGTTTACCTGCGATGTGATCTGATGAAAATGATTCCAAATAATGTTCAATACGTTTCACAAATTTCAAATAAAAATTCAGTGCTTCCGCAATAATTCAAGGTTCATGCGGAATTTAATCGAATGAATTTCATGAATAATTTGTGATACAACGGCAAGAAAGAATAAACTTGGCAAATTAATAAGGAATTGAAACACGTTTTCAAGAAAGTGGCAAATTTAAATTGATGCCAGACAAATTCTTGACATTTTTATTGCAGAGGAAAATACAGCGAAGTTTATTTTTTTTATTTTGTTTGAAGGTTAGTAGAATATTAATGCGTTTGTTTCTTGTTGTAGTCAGGTAAAAAAAAAAGGTAATTTGTGATTCTGAAACCCTACAATTTTCGACGGCTAAAGAAGGTCGTAATTTATTCCAGGCCATGAAAATTAGAGACTAAAATAAAGTTTCGATTGTCGCTACAGGGTTTTGATGAATTATTCATTCCTTTTTTCGCCTCGAGGCAAACATTTTTTCTAATCGTGACCAGAAACGAAAGTAAAGAACTTTTTTCTTTGACAGCCTTAAAAGATGTTCGCTGAATTTCAAGCAGGCATTTTTGAGAAAGAATTTCAAGGTTAAAACTTTAAATTTCTCCCCTCTGTTTCAGAAATTCGATTCACCCACGATCAAATTTTTCTTTCTCGTTTTTTTCCCCTCTCGTGAAGGCCAAGTTTTGATGCTTTTTTCGCACGAATTCGCGTGTGCAGAAAAAAAAATGGCAAGAAGTGCTGTGCAGAAAGAATTTTAAGATGTAATAGAACAACGGTCGCGTGAAGAAATAAAAAGAAAAACACCAAAAAACCAAGAACTAGAAGAATGCAATTCGGACAAACGGTTCTTGAGTAACTGTACCAAAGGACACGTTCGACAGGAGCGCATAACTTTCTTCTGAATTTTGTTTTATCCTATAAAAAAATTTATATGCTTGAGAACAGTTAGCCTGCATTGTTATAATTTTTTGAAGATAAAAGCAAAAATCTACGGTACTTGAAATTTTCATGCAATGCGGATTTTTTGAAAATGGTTTATTTTAGAAATTTAGAAATACAGTCCTTTCAATTGGGACAATATTTTTGGAAAGACTGAAAATGGACAGGTTCAAGCCCCAGAATTTGAGAAATAAGAACAAATATGACGCTTGGAACTTATCAAGTTGACAAGAATTTATTGATGTGATTTGGCCTGATTTTGCATCTTGTTCCTTGCACATATTTTAATTTTTTTTATGACCAAATTTGACAATATTTGCAAGTCCAAAATGTATTGCTACAAAACCATACCCCATTGTTTTGAGATATACAAAAGTTTTTGGTGGTGAATTCATTTACAAAATCCAACTTGTTATTCTACAATACAATCAAGCAGTTTTTACTATTTTAGCTGCAGATATACATGGATTATCATTTTTTTCAGTGTTCAATCAATGATTTGGTCTTTCAAATGGTGGACTCTAGTTAGAAAATGAATTACCTGAATCTTGATTTCCTGCCTTTGATCCTTGGCAATGTCGCGATCAATTTCGCGCTCAAATTGGACCAACAAGGGCGCCGCCATGCCAAATCTGGCGCCTCTCCTGGCCACTTCCAGAAGACACAGAACCACACTTTTCTCATTCTTTCTCGCCACCAGGTCTTCAGTTTCAAACAACAGACAATCAATGATTCCCAACTGCGAAAGAAACACAAAAATGGAAAAAACATTAGATACAGGGTGAAGATAATTTTCAAACTGTGGTGTCTTCTGACTGCTTACATACAGTACATTTATTTTATGGGCTTCCTGCCAGTCAGGAAATGTAACCAATTTTTTGCTTCCTGTTTTTCAGTGCATAACTGTGCTGAGGCAGATGAATTTCCTATCCATCATCCTCTAGTGATGATGTGTCACAGGAAATCAGTATTGTAAGAAAATTGGGGACACATCATTTGAAGATTGGGACAAGAAGTTCTAAGTTTTTATGAAAAAATTCAAAAATCTGGTCAAAAAATTTGAAAATATGGTCAAAAAATTCGTTATAACCAGAGATTCTGTGAAAAAAATTTGTTAAAACGGGATTTTTATAACACTGTTTATAAGGCAAACTGCCGGGACCAACGAAAAAATTCGTTATAGCAAAAAATTCGTTATAACGAAATTCGTTGTAACAAAATTCTGCTGAATTCTACAAATTGAGAAGAGTTACAAGTTAAAGCTCATTTAAAATTATATCAAATCTTATTCTTTTTGCTATTACAATTGTAAAGCAAGCATTAACATGCAAATGAAATTATCCCCAACAAAAATTTGCTACATCCTTTCTATAGCAAAAGCTGGTTGTCCTGGTTCCGCGCATCCTCAAAACATTCACCATGATCCTGAAAAACTAACTTATCAACATTATTGAGAAAATTACTGTAAGCTTTCTTTGAGAACTTTATCTGAAGATTGTTCCAGACCTTTTCTTGTCCCATTCCTGCGTGGCCTTGGTTAGAAAAGGACAGAGTACTGTTTTTATTCTGATAATTTTCAAGTACTGAATTCAGGCAAGCACAGAAAATGTTTTAAAATACAGGGTGAGCACTTTAAAAGTAGGTTAAAAATATGTTTACGTGTATAACTCGATAAACTCCGTTGGTTCTTGATTGGTATTTTGTACTCTATTTTTCGAATAAAGTTAGTTTAAACTTATGTAAATCGAAGTGAAGGATGAGGAGAATTTGAAACGCCTTTTACAAATATTGCACAAAAACATATTAACCATAGATAAAAGATGAAAATAAAATAAAATAGTTCAGAATCGATTAAATAAAAACTTGCTTCAAGCCTCAAATCCATGTTTTTCTTTCAACTGCATTGATTGTTGCTTCAAATATATATATTTTTAATTTGTGGTCCATCTTGGATATGATCATTTGCATGTAAATAAAAAGAGGGGGAAATGACCTCACCTTTCTGCACCAGGAAATGAAATTGTGCACATTGTCCCTCCGCTTTTTGCACGGTCCAAAACGCAGGACGGAGGTCCCGTGTACAAGCAGCCCGTGTAGCATGTCCCACTTGTTAAAGAAGAACAAGCCCACGGACCGAAACATTAGGACACGGCGGAAGGAGTGATTATTTGCATGCTAAAAAAAATAAAAAATATATATAGATATCCAATGTTCTTGTATATTCATATACAGATAGAAACATAAAAAAGCTGCGACAAATCAGCAAAATCCCGTCTCCCTTTGCGAGCGAAGATTTTTTTTTTGCTGCAGAATCTAGTGCGAAAAATTCGGCCGAGACGAAAACTTCTGACCCCAAGGTTGATCAATATTTGTTTGGCCAAGAAAGGGTGGAATTGTGCAAATATCGGGCCGAGATTCCGAGACTTTGCCGAATTTTCCCTTGCAAATTCTCGCATCTTTTTCAACGTCCAGGAATTTCCAAGAAAGAACAAAATATTCGCAACTTTTTTTTTTTTTGCTGCGGTCTCTTTTTTTTTATTAGTTGAGGGAGTGCGGATTGAGTTTGGAAATTTACCTCACAGAGGGCGACACCAGTCTCCAGCTTGTCCATGAAACAGTCCACAGTGATGTTGAGAGAATAGAGGCCATTTAGCCACTCTGCCAAGTCTTCTTTCATGGCATACAAGTATTCTTCTGAGGTCTTGAATGGCCGCAGAGCTCTTGGCTCCAACAACATCACAGAGCCCGTCTGGAGCCCATAATTCTCCAACAACTCCCCCATTAGTGCCCAAATAAAGCTCTTTGCGCAGCAAAAAAAAAGTGACTCTTTAGGGCTGTGAAAAGTAGGGACAAAGGTTTTTGTTTTCTTTAAAATCCTTACTGTACACTGGAAAAAAATAAGTTCAAACCATAGACTTCATAAAAATATACTTTTTTCAAGTTATTGTCTTTGGCTTAAATCAATGGAAATTATTTTCCAATCAAATCATTACAGCTGCTGATTCTTCATAGATGTCCTATTTGCAAAAAGGTACCTAACCCATTTTTGGAGGTCATAAAAACAATTTTCATCATTATTTAGGTTTTCCTGAAAAGGTGTTCCAAAATTAATTTCTTTTTGATCACAAAAAGTCCTTAACAATTTTACTGATCAAGGTTCAACCAAGAAATTTTGAGTTTAAGATTCAGGAAATTAACCACCAATGATCATCCAAAAATTTTAATTAGAGAGGATTTTGACTTAGCAAGGTCCAACTGCACTAATTTCAATATGAATGTGAAATATTAAAGAAAAAAACTTGATGTATTTCTCAAAACTCTATCCAGCCCAACATTTTGAATCTTGGCAAAGTTATCATTTTACTACATAAATGTTCCTGATTGTGAAAGCTTCACATAAGCCTTCAAGGACAGACACTCCAAAAATCCTAGGTTTCATTTTCAATCTGGATAGTGAAGCATATGCATGCACTCAGTTTGAAGTATTTTATTGAAATTGAATGCTCACCAACTGCTTTGTACAAATTTCTCTTGGTAAAATTAATTATCTTCCCCAAGGATTGAAGTTGATCATCTGCATTGATTGAAATTTCATAATTTCAGATCAAATTTTAGTTGCACTGTGAATAATGGCAATGTGGTTTTATGGCTGACTGATAGTGAACTACAGCTTTATTTTTTGGTCAATGCAATTGGCATCAAACATGTGGGCATTATTTAAAAGAGGAATGCATGCATAAATACTGAATGTATGTTGTCAGACAGGTTTATTATTTTGATTGATTAAAATACAGATGGTATATTGCAATTTGACTGCTTGCAATGTGATGGTTGAAATTGCAGGGAGGTTCACTTGCAATTCAACCCTTGCCCCCCAATTTGACCTTTGTCCATTTTTTTACTAATATTTTAAATTTGACAGAGAGTCTCACAATTCAACCCTAGTTTGGCAATGGATTAGGGTCAAATTGCAATGTACCATCTATATTTATTTCTGTTCAAAGATTGAGCCTTTTTGCACAAATGGTATTGAAAAAAACCAAACCCAGGAGAGATTAGTACATAAAAACATTTTCTAGAAAGAATTCTAGTCAGCAAAAATTTCATGCTTGGCCCACAAGGCCAGCATTAATGGTCTTTGAGAAAAATACTGTTGCTGGGATGAGAAGGGACTCAAGGGAGACACTAGAGAGATGAGAACATTGAGCAGAAGATAGAGTGATAAAGCACCAGAAAAGAAGGGGGGTGATGATCATGAGTCTGAGCTGACAGGATGTGCATGTCCCTGATCCCAGATGCTGTTGAGTAACTTCACTTGCCCATTGTCTGGTAGACACATCTTACTTTTGAAAATAAAATAAAAATTAAATTTTAAAAGAGCTTGAAACAATAGTCTGTTCAAAGGGAAAATTTGTTCACTGACTGAGCCCTGTGGATAATTTCAAGACGCGTGAAAATAGGACAACCCAAGTACAACTTATAGTCAATTATTGATTTTTTTTTACAATGAGCATAGCTTCTCTGATAGCAAAAGAATTGGACATGAATCCCAACTGAAAATTTTGATTTGTATCACTTTTTTTCAACCCCATAGAAATAATCATGTTTGAATTCTGTTCTAATTGCACATAATCTAATAGACCAGTAAGAAAGCTCACCATTCACAATTCAAATTCAATTTTTGTCACCATCATCCTGATCAGCAGCTCTCAAGTGGAAGCATTTGCCATTTTCCTCATGCTTTAACCCTGTCTCTCCAGATCAAATAACCACTTCAAGAGGTTTTTCACAAAAAGCTTACTCAAATGTATTAGAGAAAATCACTCATTAGTATGAGAAACCTATTGAAGGTTTCTGAATGGATGTAAGAGCAAACTTCACAAGCCAAAGATTTTCAGCAAGATTGGCCTGACTTCTGAGTCCCATGTT